CGTCGCCTTCGCCACAGCTGCCACACCGCAACATTCACCATCGTCTCCCCTGCGTCCAAAAGAAATTGCTGTGTCAAGTGCCGAGAGGGTAAGATCAGAACGGTCAGCCACACCTTAGCTCCCGCAAATCTACTACCAGCCGCCGTAGTAGATCCAAAGTACGACAGTCCAACGTATTCAGACAATTAGGACATAACCCACGGTCGGATTCAAGCTTTCTCAGAGGACTCATCGTGACTAGTGACTCAAATTGGCAACGGCCGACAGGTCCCACTTGCTTATCAAGCCAACTGAGTGGGGTTAATCGGTCCCTGTGTACTCCCCGCCCTGACGTTTTGTGCCTCCAACACACGAGCCTGGGTTTCGTCGCAGTCCACGATACTGTTTAGAAAGCTGCCTTCTCCCCGAGAACCACCCAAATGAGGGGACGAGGTGGTAACACGGTGTTTTCCAGCTGAATGCCGAGCTCAGGCTTCCACCTGGCTGCCATCTTACTCTTATTGCGGTATTCTTCTGATGTGTGGCGATGCTAGGACCCTGTGTGTGTGCCACACTTAGTTCAGCACTCATTCGTTTTTACATTCATTTGGTCGTCCTCGCTCAGCATGGCTCGATGGATCACTTGCTCGATTATAACTGGGAAAGAAGCCACTGGGACAGTATGATCCAGGCTCACTTTCGGTCGCCAGTCACCTGGATCTCGACTTCTTCCCGGCCGTTGGGTGGGACGCTGTTCCCCGAGCCTTTTTTCATGATTCGATTTGTTTAAGAGCTTTCTGGAACAAGACGCACAATTAAACACGGATGTCAGTTTGTTTTTTAGGGTCGGCCAATTGCCCCCCCCCCCCCCCCCATGTCCAATATGACCCTCTAACGGCGAGTTTGTCCCCTTAACAAACTTCTGGAGCTCAAGAACATGTAGAACATCACAAAAAAGAGCTCGAAAGTATGCCAAATCTAAAAACGGCTTTTATTATTTGTTTCACGGGTGAAAGAGGCAAAAAACTGCGATGCCATATCCAGTTAAGCGCACTTGACTGAGCTTTTCACACTTTTAAAGCTCGGCATTCTGGTACTCGAGTTTTCTGTTTGTTTTTTCCTGCATGCTGCGTTTTTTCACTACACGATCTATGTCTCTTGTTGAGTCTAGTTTGGTGCTTTTGATGAAATGTTTTGGCACCAATCAGCAATGTTTCAAATTATAGACTGCTGCAATTTTCCTTATTTTGTCGCAACCTCTTACGAAAAATGAAAACAAACCGGATGAATATTTGTAAGCAAAAATGTGACCAAGCTATAGCCGTCTACCTTGCGAAGAATTCTTGAAACGCATGAGCCTTTCCTTCGACGTGAACATTCGATGAACTGGCTGCAACAATCAACACCGATCGACCAACAAAACAATCGACATCAGCCGACTGAACCGGTAGCGGCACTCGTCCGACCATGACCCCCGCACCAGCCGTGTTGGACATGCTTAACACGAGTGCTGCGTCGCAGCCTGCACTTCACCTCGTGACAACCAGCTAGGATTTTCGTTGCAGACATTAACACGGGGCCGGGTGAGGGGTCAAATTGACCCCAACCCCAAAGGTTTCCCGGAATAGTTTCAGAACGATGCAACATATCCGCGCCAAATTCTGCATAGCTGTAGACAATCTAATAGCGGATCGTATGGCATCAAACATTTAGGATGAGCATTGTAAGGTCGCTGATCTATGACAAGTTAAAGTCACGCCATGGTTTCAGCAAATGCAATTTCCAAGGAATAGCTCAATCTGATCCAACAACGGAGTGTCAGACGAGGCCATACACCTTTGAGATACTTTCTTAAGAAACGGAGCAATTGAACGAACAAATTACAACCACCTAAGGTCAGGTATGAAGGTTGGACCAAAGTCAAAATAAGCACGTTTTAGTACTCTAGGGATTGCTGAATGGGGTATTTTCAGGTGCTCATTCCGAATTTATTGATAGTAGGAACTGCATTATGCGCCTTCCATGAACTTCTTTCAATATTTTGTTTTTAGAAACATACTACCTAGCGTAATCTTTGTCGCCTATTCAATTGCAAAACTCAAAGCGGTCTTGTATGATTTTGGTCACCATAACCTTCAAAATTTCAAACAAAGTCGCTGACCTTAAATGAGCACGTGATTTTTTGCTTAGAACAGGTATCTAGACTTTAGTGGTTCCTTGGAGACCAACCTGAAATTTAACCTTGCTTGAACTTATTTGACCCAAAGATCATGACTGAAAACCTCAAAATGCGGCCTAAGTGAGTTCACGTTTGGGTCAACATACCCTGTGGATTTGGTGTCTCTAGCTTTCTCAGTTCCTGAGATCTCAGGGGAGTCAAATTGCCCCCCCCCCCCCACACCTAAGCGAAGGGCATCCAATCGGTCATCCGGGCGCGTGTTAAAAGTCGCGCAACTCAACTTGGACGCGTACGGGTTCGGGAACAAAGAGCGTAACAACGTCTGGAGCCACATAACATCGACTCTACGTCGATTACCGAAACCCGGTTTCGACGATCGACGCCAAACAAAATTATAATTATATCTAACGACAATCATTCGCCGAGGCAGAGCAAGCAATCGCATTAGACCACGGCTGCAGTTTCCTTTTCTGTTGGAGGGGGGGGGGAGAAGACTTCAACTCCATAGCGTTGATAGAAAATCGGCCCAAATCCTGTAAGTATTTGGCTTTTAGTGTATTTGGTGCTAGATTTTTCCGCTCGGCCCCACCAATCTTATTTTGCGAAACTACATCGTCCCGGCGAAGCCACCATACGACCGTCCACGCGAAATATTCGTCACCAGGTTATACTATAGCGTCAGGTCTGGAACTCAGGACCCATTCCCTAAGTATGGACAGGCATCGGGAGCCGCGGTTTAAATTGGCCGGGGCCCTTAAGTCAATGAGAGGCCTCTGTGTCGGTCAGGAGACTACAGTGCCTAACAGGGGTTCTGAAATGACAAGAAGTCCAGGGTCAGCATAGGACAGTAGGTACTGTAAGTCACCTTAAGGATCACGGCCCGCAGGGCCGAGCCCTCAAATGCCAGTGCGAGGGGCTCTTGCACCGATTGGGGATACCGTGAGACGATGCGGGTCTCTTACGGTCATAGACATCAACACTGCTCAGCCGGCTTAGTGTCGGTCTGAACCCTGAGCGCCCCATTTCCCACACAGGGGCAAGGCCGGAACCCGCAACTCGTTATGATCGGGACCCTGAAGAAAAGAAGGCTTCTTTATGGCCATAGTGTCTAATAGAGCCCAGTGTTGACAGGGGGCCTCGAGTCGGCCAGGGCAAGATTTGCTGAACAGGGACAGGGACGGGACCACGAACCTCACGGACCTATTGCGTTGGTCGAGGCGCTCTGGCAATGAAGCGGATGTGAAGTTTGCGATGAGAGTTCACGATGCGACGATGGAAGGCCATCTGTCAGGCAGATCTCCGGTACCGAACATCCCTACCCGCTATCCCGAACTGTAGTCACTGTGCCAATTATCGGACACCTGCAACGATAAGAAATATTTTTGTCGGCGAGGGCCCCTGCGTCCTATCTGGGGCCAAATCACCGGGTCAGGGGCCTCCGGCGCCAGGTACGCGACCAGTGTATGAGGAATGCATCATACATTGGTCGCCTAAAGGTCTCCTTATCCATCAGGGGATCCCGCCCCTGTATCACAGGCATAACGGTCGGCAAACACCGCATGCTGTAAGAGAATGGTCCCTGAAGCCCCTGACCGGGAGTATAATGCGCCCCCATTGTTCTACCCAATGGGTCTCTTGCCCGGGAAAGATGAGCGTTTCCTCAGTGTTCAATAAGGCGGATCACAGCGAGGTAAGAAATGAAAAAGCCAACTCAAACGCGGTGCTCATCCTTGTTCAGGATCAACATGTGAAGTAAATTTCATAGACAGTTTTGATTCTTCGTGCTCACAATCGTAGGGACAAGGACACCGATGGCCGGGGTTGCAATTTCGATAAGACCGAGCGGCGTTGGCCACTGTACAGGGGCGGATCTAGCCTGGAGTTTTTTGGGAGGACAACCGTTCGTCGCCAGCTGGCTGGTGTGCGATCCGAGGTCCAGTGCATGGTGCCTCTCGCGAGTACCTGGTAGGGACAACATTCAAAACCGAAAAGAAGCACCGAAATGCTTTTGAATCTTAAACAGAAGTTAAAGCAAAACAGTTAAAACAGTTAAAGTTAAAACAGACGGTAAGTAGACGAAACTTTTATGAAGTTCTGGGAATGCTGGGGGGGGGGGGGCAAAACATACTCTAAGATATTTTTTTTGGGGGGGAGCCATGGCCCTGTGCCCCCCCCCCCCCCAGGATCCGCCTATGCCACTGCAGCTAGCATCGGGTGGTGGGTGCCTGAAGCCCGAGAATAGCCGTCGTGAGATTACGTCACTTCATATCGTTCAGAAAGTGGACTGCGGCATATATTTTGCTGGTAGAATGTCGAGGCTGTTCTTTGAAAAGATGAACAGCGGCAGCAACACGAAAACTTATGTAGTTCTACCATCAAATTACAGTGCCGGTTCGCAGTCGTATGAATGCTGTCAGTTTCCAATATATTAAAATCGCAAAGCTGAAACATACTCCTGGAGCACCTTCAAGCGCATCAATTGATATTCTAAAACATTCAGCTACTTTCTTCAGAAACGTTGTTTTCGTCCGGCCGTTGTCCGCCGCCTAATGTTAGACGCGGGACCGACGCAGCGCGACCTTCAGGTAATGCAACGCCGGGTGTCGGGGCTTTGTTGTTAGACTTGCAAGTGTGCACGGCCAAAACTGTGCTATCTAATTCTTCCACTTCTCAATTCCGAACAAATGTAACAGTCTCAGACCAGAACGGGCTGATGTGAACACAAATCGATAACCTCATTTTGATCACAGCTCTGCGTTAACGACGCATCTGAGCAACCCAAAAACTTCGGCACAGCTCCTGAGTGCTATCAGCTGAGTGGTCAACTAAAACACTGCGAGCACGAATAACACCAGTGGTTTATGAAATGGAATCGTTTAACGCGCAGCGCCTTTCCTTGGCATTACAAGAACAGGCATCGCAAATGTCCACGACACATACATTGGAAAGGCATCGGCAATATGCTTCGCATGTTAATGGTGCGACATATTCGCGTATGCAAGGTGGCAGCGGCAGTTCCAACAACCCCGGCGAAATCAACTGTTACACAAATGGGCATCCGCTTTCCAAGCAGCGCGCGCCACTGCCTTCCGTGCACTTTCTCTAGTCACGCAGCAGCGAAACGCACCACTCACGGGTTTAACAAACCTTCCGTCCGCACAATGCGGCGTCTCAGTACACCGTATCACAGCGAGGACGAGCGGGAGCGGAGCTTAGGAGATGCGCGCAGAAGCAGCCCACACTGTGGATGTCCCGCTAAAGGTTGTGGCTGATGAACTCGTTAAAGTCGATGCGCAGCAGCAGGCGGGACAGGTGACTTCCAGCACGCTGGTCCTTCAAGCTGCTCATGATCCTGGAACGGAGAAATGCGTAAATACAGGTTTTGGTAGAGTGAGGAAGCCTCGCGTTTTGATTTTTGTATATTTCCATCTCCATTCCTTGCAGCCACAAACTCGAATACCAGAAAGCTTCTGACAATGTCAGTACGCTCGATCGATTCGATCCATTTATCGATTCGTTTCAGTGCATGTTGCTACGCGAGGGGAGCCGAACACCTGCCGCTCAGCGCAGGCTGTCGTGCTGACGCCCTGCCAACAAAAACACAGGAACAATTGCGAAACCGATGTGACTGCACTCGAACGTCTTTGCCTGGCCCCAACCCCTTGGGTTCCTTAATTCCTGAGCATCTTCTAAGGAAATGCATGCACAGCCACGCTGCTGGAACTGGTGAAGCACAGTCTAAACTGTCAAACCCGTCGCAGGCTGACCCGACCCATTAACCTGCCGGTGACGCCGTTGCAGCATCCGAACACAGAGTCCTACCCACCGCCCACGCCACCTGAAAGTCCCAGCGAAAACCTTTTCACGCAAACACTGCATGTCTGTCCGCCACCCTTGTCCCCTTGTAACCACTTGTCGAAAATCTGGGTCTCTCAGCGTCGCCACATCCTGATCTCATAGAGTATAACTCCCTTATCTTGACACGGCGTCCGACCTCATCCCTTGGTACACAGGCCCCGACTCCCATCTTCCTGCCAAACAATAACCGAACCCTCCCCTGTCGGGTTGCGTCCGACCCATATCCCATCAAAGAAAAACAGGCCCCCATCCCCCCCCGTCACATAGCGACCGACTCCCGTGTCCCTGTCACAAACCGCCCGGCTCATATCCCCTCGTCGCAGCATCTGGCCCACATTTCCTGTCGCGTAACAGCCCACACCCACCCTTCCATCACCCTAGCACCCGAGCTCCATGCCTATCACCCGAACGCCAACGCTAGCCGGCGCGCTGCGCACCTGAAGAGCAGCTGCGACTTGCGCTGGAGCCGCTGCTGCAGCGGCGTCACGTCCGCGTCGGCCTGCGCAGCGCCACACAGCTCCTGGCAGCTGGACAGCAGGTCGCGCAGGCACTCGATCACCGGCCGCGACTGCAGGAAGCACTGGCTGCTGACGGCACTCAGGAAGCAGTCGTGCGCGTGCCGCAGCTGCTCGTAGTCCTCCGCGGCGGCGACGGCAGCCTGCAGCCGGCTGTGCTCCGACTCCAGCACGTCCACGTGCAGATAGTACTGCAGGTTGTTGACGAGGAACGCCATGTGCGCGCGCAGCTGGTGGGCGGCCACGTCGCCGCCCGAGCGGCGAGTCTTCTGCCGCATCTGTTCGGCCCACAGCCGCTGCAGCATTATCTGCGTACGCTTCACCAATAGTAGAAACGAGAAGATCTCGTTGTAGCTGACCAGCACGGCCGGTGTGTACAGCAAGTGCAGCGGCCAGGGGACGAGATAGTTCATTCGCAGCCGATCCCAGCCGGAGGCGCGCTGGCCGTCGCTGGGTGCTGGCGCCAGACTCAAGTACACGCTGTCCAGCACGGCCTCTTCCTCCAGGCCCACCCGGCCGCACGCCACCAGGAACGCCTCGTTAATGTCCGCCTCCAACTTGGCCTTGGGCGGCACGCGCAGGATGTGATCACACTCGGCGAACAGCTCCTGGAAGAGCGATCCGCGCCCCAACAAGAAGAACGTCTTCATGACGACCAGGTGCTGGCCGAGTCCCGCATCCACCACGATTACCCTCCACAAGTGCTTGGCGACCAACGCCTTGATCTTGTTCACCAGCTGCTCGAGCTTGAACGGAGAGAGGGTCGTCTCGGCGGCCAGCGCGTCGAACTCGTCGGCAAACTCGCGCTCGCGTCCGCCGACGATGTCCAGGGCGGGCGCGTCGCCGTCGCGCTGCTCCACGCGCTGCCGGCACATCTGGATCGAGTTGCCGACGAACAGGATGCTCTGGCAGAGCCGCAGCGGCAGGTACGACGGCAGCAGGTCCGGGTCGAGCTCGAACTCGATCAGCGCCGGAGGCTTGCGGTCCGCCGCGCTCGCTGTCTTCCCGAACACGGCGCCGTCCGGCTCCGAGTACTCTCGCTCGCGCACGAAGAACTCGCGTCCAGCGTCTGGTAGCAGGCCGTGCAGCAGCCACGCGGACAGCTGCGCCAGCAGCACGCGGTAGCAACGCTGCAGCACCAGCTGCAGCTGCCACCGGTTGTCGCCAACTGCGGAGGCCACGTGACGGTGCAGCACGTCCAGCAGCCGGCAGCCTGCGGCGTCCGGCCGCTCGGCGTCGGCCAGCAGCCGGCAGAGGGCGCGCAGCAGCGAGCTGTGCGGCTGCACCGCCTGGAAGACGTACGCCACGCCCAGGTCCGGGTCCTCCAGCAGGTCCTCCTCGAGCCGCTGCAGGCAAGCCTCGTAGCCGGCCGTGGCCTGGTCCAGCGACCGGCACAGCGCGCGCCGGTACTTTCCCACGTCTAGCTCACCAGCCGCCTGGCCAACGTCGACGAAAGTACGCACGCGGCGATACCACGTGCCCAGCGAACAAAGCTCGTTCAGAACACTTCGTTCACAAGGGTGGAAGAATGGTAGCGACGCATCAAGCGAAATCTTGTCATTCTTGAGTGTGAAAAGGCTACCAGTGCAGCCTTCTAGGGCAAGAAGCAGCTCATGAAGCATTCTTGCTATATGCTGCCTGTGAATCAAGTTGATGCGTCAACAGCTTTGCGGTCTCAGGTGGTGATCATGGCTATTTGAGGAGTGCCTCTCTTGAGCTTCATGTAAACTGCAATAAAAGGACCACAAATATCAGTGATATGAATGCTATTTTAAATACCTGCTATGAAAGTTGAAAATGCTTCTTTTTTAGAACTACTTCTGTATTTTATTCCACATAAAGGTTTTGCTGTCCCACAGCCATAAGCACCAATGACAGGCAGAATGATTGGCACACATGGCCTCACTCCAAATTGAAAGTGAGACCCTGCAGGACACAAAGTGGGTTCATCACTAAGTTTGCAGCATCAAGATCAAGTGAACTCACTCAAGAGGTAGCCTCTTCATGTAAATCTATTGCATTAATTCAGAGCCTTTGTGTAACCTCTAAAATTGACCTAAGGAAAAACATCAAATGCATAGCCAACATTAAAATGGTGTAATCAAACAATATAAACTGCAATCATTGCATTTTTGGGGTAGAAAAAAACAGACTTTAGACAGTATAGACAGACTATATGGTATAAACATATATATATATATATATATATATATATATATATATATAGACAGCTGCACTTTTGTCTTTCAGCCACCTTCCATTATCAGCACTAGCCCTTTTCTTGAAACATGCATAGGTATTTCATATCATTATTTACTGTACAAAAGCATCATAAATACCACCATCCATCTTTACGAAAAGATACCACTACGTAATCAATACAAATTGTATATGCAGCTGCACCAGATAGGTGCATAGGTGCCACCTGTGTACCTATCCCAGTCTTCTTTCGAAAATTCACCTGATGTGTTAGAACAAGAAAAATCACTACCGCGAGTAATCACCTGTTTTCCCAATAGACCCAAGAGAATGAAAAATCGCGGTGACCAACGGCGACGAACACCACCAGTGCCAAGGTCCTACCAACGCGAGATGCAGTGTCAATTTCACACGTTAAAAAAGGCGGCAAATGCTCGTGTAAGCGCGCCGTATTCGCAAAGTATTGTACCTGCTTATCTTGCTAGTATGTGCAGGTCTAGCAAGTTACCGCAAATTGATAGTAAGATTTAGAAAGATGAGCTTTGTTGAGCGTTGCTTCGAGCAGACTGCGGAGAGCAAGCGCAGAGCGACACTGCAAATCGCAGCTGGGTGAGGGTATTGAGTGCAAGGCCAGTGAGTGGGTGCCGCGTTGATCGCAGCTGAGAGGGAAAAGTCGCCTTAACGGGATAGGCACCTCTTCGGATCGTTTCAAGGTGTGTGAATGCCGCCTGCATCGCGCTTGATAGCCGAAGGCATACATTACGAAACATTTACATAAATTATGTACAAACATATAGGTGCTGTGCGGAGCCCAGCCTGTTGCTGCAAGTCTTGCAAGCCCTGGAGCATGACACTGTCAGTCTGCTCGAAATGTGATTGGAGTCGATGCCTCATATTTGATGCCCCAAATATGTGCATTTTGAGGACTCCAGTCAGGCTTTAGATATTCTCCAGATGGCAATAGTTGCATTGTGTGATTTGTTGTGTGGAAGTATATTGGAATAATTGTGCAATGTGGGTCCACACAAATTGTTGGCAGACATAAATCCAACATGGTCAGAGAACAATACTCGTGCATTGGGGATTAAGAGCTCCATACTGCTTTATACATGAGGTCCTCTTCCTACCCTGCTAATAGGTCATAACATAATGCAGTGTTGGTGGCCAGATTACACAAAAATTCATGTTACACTTGTGTGGTGTTCAAGCAACATCAAAACCACAATTTCAGGACATGTGAGCTGCTAGAGTTAGGTGGGTGGTCAGCTCCAATTTTAGCAGTGTCAATGTTTGAAGGATTTGTGATGCCACTGAATTATTTTTAGATGCAAACTGTCTACAAAATTGTCATGGGAAAGCTCTTGAAACTGCAATGTTATTTAGGTTGACCCGAGTTAGGCATGAATGGGAGGTGTGGAGCAAGGCATAGTGCACTGATCTCACATGTGCATCCCGCACAGTGGATGATTTTTTTTTGCAGACAGGGCTGGTGGCAAATATATATCATTATAAAGGTTAGGTAAAAACCAAAGGGAATATTAACAATAATTGAGTTACTGATTGATGTATCCTAAATCAACAATGCTGTAAGAAAGTCATGTAAAATTTTCACCAAAACTTGAAGCAAATGTCTGCATTCATATAATAGAAAGTGAATTTCCACAGTATATTCTTTATTTTTATTTACTTGCTTAATTCTTTGTTAAGTGATAGGTTGTACTAGAGAGGTAGCATTAACATTGCATTGGACAGAAGATATATACTTTGTGTATATAATTACTTGTCATGTAAAATGTCAATTATAGCCAGGACAGGATTTGTGAGTAAAATCCATGTTCCTTTTCATTTGGACTCCTCCACTATATGAATTTACATTTGTGGGCTTTCCTTATGCTGTCACTTTTATTGGTAAGCATGCTTACCTTTTTGTCTCCACATTTATGTAGGTCTCCACATATATAAATGATTGCTCACTGAGGGAAGGCTGCTAGAAATTTTTATGTCTGATAAGTTGCATGTTATCAATACTTTTTTCTCATTCACAACATCCAGAAAAGTATCTAACTCATGGTTTCATTATCTGTGATTGCAGCAGTAGCCATGGATTACTAGTGGTCCACATATGAGCCATGAGGAAATTTTGAGATATAACAGGTGGATATGAGCATTGTGAGGAAATGAATATCCAGAAATGTGAGCAGTGTACCACTGCATGAGTGATTTTGATAGCAAGCTGAGCACTATGTGCATGTGTGCAACATAGAGGCAAAGCCACAGATGTACCATTGTGGTGCAATTGTATCTGATGTAATTGTTCTTATGTTGCCTGACATTTACAGAGCTAACTTAGCCCAAGTTTATTTGTCTATGTACACAAATGATGCCATAACATGTGCTCTATTTTTCAAGGTTAACTCCTTGTTAACCCATGCTAGAAATGTTTGTATTTACTTGTTTGTATATACTGCTGGAAGCTTTGAGGATGTATATTTTTGTGTTGTAAACAGTTTTCCATGACTGAACAACTCAAGTCTGATGCTCACATCTTCACAGTGCACAAATCGCAGGGGATTTATATTAATGATCCCAGCAGACATGGTTCATGTTCTTTGAAAAACATGTTGCTTTTTGGCTAATTCAGTATTTGCTGGTATCTACTGCTGGTATCTGCTGCTGGTAAGTTTTTGCAGCATAAATCATGTGGAGTCCAAGCAGATCTCAAAGCATGAGCATGGTCTTGCTAGTTATTTGTCATGTGTGAAGGTGATCCCAGCCAGTGACATTTTAGTCTGCTGAAAGTTCTGCTGATATAAGTATTACCTACCAGTAATTGATTGATGTCAGTGATCTTCATATGACATGGGTGTATGTCAATATACGCATATGCATATAGCCATGGCTATGAAGTGTCCACTGGTGCAATTGTTCCTGTGCAGAACTACCAGTTTCGTTGTTAATGGTGTCATATTTTCAAAGAACCTCCTTACAGGCTGTCATCTTTTCATCACATGGTAATCTCTAAATTGCCAGTGAATTAGGCTCAGAAACAAGTCTCATATTTTAGAGAACTTAGCCACAATAATGTGGCCTTATGTGAATGGAAATGCATGTGGATCCATTGTGGAACCAATTAGGGAAGGGGCCATCCCTGTGATAACAGTATTGCAAGCAATGTGAGGTGCAAATTGTGTACAGGTATATAGAATTGGCTCAAGTTTGAATAAGACAGACAACACAAACTTATATTTTTACTAATCTAGAAATCTTTTAAAAAATCTTAAAAAACTAATCAATTTACCTTTTCATGATTCTGACTCACCCAACTTGAAAGAAATAATGTATTGCTTTAAGGGGATGTTCTGCATTTAAAGATATTGGAGCAAGCATCAGATACGAGGCCCACAAGAGCATAATAAAGCCACTTACTATTGGTATGGTTTTCAGTGGAAAATCTGCTCTAGACAACACAGTTTTGCTATTTAAGAAGATATGCCCATCAGTATTTAGCAAAACCTTTTATTTTCAGTTAGCAAAAGGTAGCAATAAAACTATGGAGAGATGGATGTTTAGTCAAAGAGTACCAAATTATTGGAATGGAGTGCCAAACAAAGTTGTAGAAAGTCCCTGGCTAGCAACGTTTAAAAATCATTTGGACAAACTCTATAGGCCTAAGGCTCTCATTTATAGCTAAGTTCAGGGAGGTTAAGTGGTAAGATTAGTTCAAGGATGAGTGAGAAACTTAGGGCACACTAATCTAGATGGATCCTTGTGGCTCTTTGTTGGCCTGATGGCTATATGGCTATGTGTCTAATATGTCATTGATTGCTGCTGCTGCTGATGATTTAGGGTTTTAGGGTGCGTTGACTGCTGTAGGTCATGCAGCACCCATATTTTGTTTGACTGCTTCAGCATACCTTGCACAACATTGATTTAGACCCAATTGACAGCCATTACATCAGGAAATCTTGCTCACAAACATTAGATATGAATGACTTAGCAGGTATGTCTCTGTTTGCTGCATGGTCAACAGAATGGCATAATTTGAATGATATTGTTAAGGCATCATTGATGTCTGGGTGACCTTGAAGTAATCTCACTGAAATAGTCTGCACATCTTGACATGCATGTAGCTCAGAAAACATCAGGGTTAGGCCTGAAGGAGGGCAGGGCTGTGAAATACACCAAATGATCTTCAAGATGGCTATCAGACCTCAAAACTTCATGTGAATATGAAACACACCCTTAAATGAAACGCCATGCACGTCGTCGTGAACGTTTTCATGAACACCATGAACCACAGCGATGACTGGGTTTATAAAGGGGATATAAAACGCCCAGTGTTCAATCCTTAGCCTTCAGCTGGATGGACCTTTTGACCTTATGACCTTGTGGACCTTATGCAATAGTAAGATGCCCTCAAAGGAATCAAATTCAACCTTAAATGGATAAAATCCGTTTGACTTAGAAGTTTATTCAACATCCTCACAGAACAAGCACAAGTCTTTGGAGGGAGTGTTCCGCATTTACATGGGGTTTGTAGCTCAAATAGCCATCTTGAAGACCTTTGGATATTGTTCACGACTCTGCCCTTCTGAAGACCAAAGCCCCCCTAGTTCCTGAGTTTCGTGCGCGCGAAAATAAAAGTTTTTCGAAGAGAGCATTTCAAAGTCACCCTTCTATTCATGAGGCCATATTAACGTCATATTATTATGACGCCATTCCACGAGCCACGCGGCCATCAAGACCAATAAAAATAGAATTGTCGAGGCGTTCATATCTGGCGTTCTTGAGCGCGACTTCCAGATGTAACGTTCTTCAATTGGCTCTCAATCAATGTTGTGCAAGGTACGATGACGTATTAAACTATGGCGCATTGAGGAGCTTGTTCACTAAACAGACAGTTGCGTTGTCTAAAGCAGTCTTTTTCACGTAAAAAGTACACGAACAGTTATGAGTGAGCTTGTTTGATCTGATGCTTGCTTTAAGGTGCTCAAATAGGAAGCATACCTTTTAAACCAGATAGTGATGGGCGCAAGATGCTAAAGACGAGGCAATTAATTCACGGTCGGATTTGACCCGAGGCTGTCCTTCAACTATCAGCAAAGATTTCACGTGTAGCCAGTTTTACTGGTTGAAGCTGAATGAATGTTAGGGTAAGGGTTGACCGGTGAGGAAAGTCGTACTTTGGTAACCTGTGCGGACCGGTGGTCTATGGCAGTGGCAGTTAGAAGTATTTCATCGCGTTGTCCAATGACTGGTTTTCCGGCAATCTGTACTGGCTTGTACGTCCGTGGGAGTGGGCGGTAATTCTCGAGAGAACGGACTAATCGCAGCCTTTCCTCAGTAATGGCGTGAATCTTCACGTCAGCCGAGGTGCTGTTTTCGACCTGACTGGCGGCAGGAGATGTCAGAGACGTGTATCGTCAGCGGTCCCTGTAAGCGTCCGGGTAAACAAACGTCAGCACGGCTTCCAAATCCGCACACCCCTGCTGCTTGAGTGGCGGCACCGCGCCTCTCTGGCGGGCGCCTGCCGCCGTTCTCAGGCCAGTACACGCCGACGTCCCCGCGCGGCCGCGGGGGCGGCGGCGGCCGGGCGCAGGATGCCCGCCTATCTTTAGACGGCCGGCCAGCGCGAGCCCCGAAATACGGCCTGGTGACACGCCGCGCCGCGGGCCATGGGCGCGCCGGTCCGGCCCGGCCCAGCCGACACGTGGACCTGTTCCCGTCGGCGGGCGCCGCGGAGAAAGCGCGCGCCGCGCCGGTGCGGTGGCTGTGGCCGGGCGGGGCCGGGCGGCCTGCTCGGCTGTCGGGACGGCAGCCGGCGGCGCCGCCGGCGGGCGTCGGGCCGTTGCACCCGGCGCACCCCCGGCCAGGTCACTGTTCGGTTGTCCGTAGCCAGTTGTGCAAAACATACGGAAAGGCAAAAAGGCACCTTAGATGAAGTGGAACAGATTGTCGGGCACGCGTTGTTCACCCACATCCTTTGTCTGGCAATCGTTCAGGTGGGTCAGCTATCGTCCCGCGTCACTCGGTGAGTGGTTGTGGTTGCGGTTGGTCAAGGTCTGTCAGTGGGTGCGGATCCCACGCCGCATCCGCGTCTGGGACGGTGTCAGTCGGCGCTGCGCGGTGAACATAGTGGAGGTGCTCCTACCACGTCCGGCGCGCGGTGGCGGGGCCCGTCCTGCAAGCCCCGTCGGTCCGCTCCACCCAGTGTCTGTCGCCGGCGCGGGGTTGACCGCGTGAGCTCGCCGGTCGGCCGCCAGGTCGGTCCGTGACCTGTTGACGCGCCGGCGGTTTAGCTGGGAGTGGGGCTGCGGCCGCCTGTGATTGTGGCGGGTCTGCCGCCACGGCCGCCGGTGCCGCTGTCTGGCGCCTCTGCCAGCGGCGACGCCAGGCCTGCCATTCCGTCCGCTCCCCTCGCCGACATACCCCGACCAGCCCTCTCTCCTCACCGCACACTAGACCGGGCCGTCACACGCAGCGGCAATATCCACGCCGTGCGCGCCACAGATCCCGCGCATTCTGCCCAGCCCACGCGTCCTTCTCACCGGATGCATTCCAGCCGCCAGCTCGGGCCCCAAAGCATTCCATCCGGTTCGCCGGCTTGGCGAGCGGTGCATATTTGGCGTGCGCCGCCCACTCCGCCCACTCGACGGCTCTGACGTGCATGCCGGTGGAGAATAGTCAATTACCTGGCGCGAAACGTGCTTTGTTGCCGGCGCGTGGGAGTGAGTTAATGTAGGTGTGTGAATGGAACTGTCACGGCACTGGCAGGAGGCTGGGACGCAGGTGATGTGGTGATTGCCCGATGGCTCTGGGTGCAGCTTGTTCCACGGACCGTAAAACACCTTAATATCACAATCGGTAGCCGCCGTACCGAAAACGTGCTCTTTCTCCTCCTTATCTTGGACGTACTTCACTCTTGCTCGTTATCTAAGGCAGAAAGCCCGATGAAGGTTGTCTTTTGGCGGAGCGCCGCTGTGTGCTTGTCTACCGGCTATCGGACTTGGGCCAGCGGTCAGCGCGATAGCGCTCGTTGATCGGTCGATGTCGCGTGTCTCGCCACCACCCCCGTGCCTGTCGTCAGGCGCCGTCTGATGGGCGACGCGCGGCGTCGGGCCGCCGTCTTGCGCGGCCAAGGCGGCCGACGACGGCGCGTTTATGCCACGCGGCCACCGGCCCTATTTGGCGTTGTTGAGAGCCGTGCCGTGCCGGACCGCGGTCCACCGCGCTAATGACCGCGCGTCACGAACCGGAGATTGGCCCGTGACCCTGCCGGAGCCGGCCGCACCGGCGGCGGCAGACCCGCCGACCCGCCCGCTCGACCCGCGTTCGAGTTGAAGCGCCGCAATGCGGAGCTGGCGGCGCCTCTGATTGACGTTGTCGGGGCCGGATTCGTCAAGACGACTAACCGGTGGCGTGGCGCCCAGCTGGTGACTGGCCACCTGGCGGTGCGCTGGGACATCTGTGTTTGTGTTTGCAGGCGGCAGAGGTCAGCAGCGATGCCGGGGCGGCCGATTGCGATCGTGTTACCCTCGGATGAAGAGGGCAATCATAGCTTTCACCTCGATAAGGAGGCGCTTGAGGAGGTCCTCTCAGCAGACAAGATCAAGGACAAGCATATTGTTGTCGTGTCCATTGCCGGCGCCTTCAGGAAAGGAAAATCCTTCCTGCTGGATTTCCTTCTCAGGTTTTTAAATGCACAGGTAAGTCACGCCATTCGCGAGCGTTCTGGGGAATTGTGTCACCACCAACTTGCTTTGTTAGAATAATTTTGCTCATATGCAAATGCTGCTCGTCGCTGCTGGCATCAGACTGGCGGCAACAGTCTTCCGGGTAGAGGCGCTGGCCTGTGTTGTTCGTATTTGTATCTCGTTGCTGCAAAAGCATCTGCGGAAAAGTCCGGCCTCCATGGGATCACTATAAGTTACGTTGATTGAACCCATTTGTCCGTCGGCTTCATGAAATTTTGTAATCAGCATGAGCAATGGGTACGCTTATAGGCATGGGGTATGGAAAGATACGGGTCGTGCAAGGTGGATCCCTTGTTGAATTGGCACGCGGTCCATTTACGGTGCCACTATCGAATCTTGACGTTGTATGGCTCTCCCCTCCATATCCAAATCTCCGGATGCCGTTCCTTCGCGTGTACGGACCTCCGAATTCAGGTTTCCCATTTTAACTGTTCCCCTTGTGCTGCCCCCTCCCCCGAGGGCCGTGCTCCTCGCAAAGTACCTGTGCGTGCACCACCCCTCGAGTGCCGCCCCTCCGCGCGCGCCGTCTCGCGTGTTCCGGCGGCGCGCGGCCGCAGTAACGCCGGGCCGCCGCCGCCGCCGCAGGGCTCCACAGAGTGGCTGGGCGACCGGGATGAGCCACTGCGCGGCTTCCCGTGGCGCGGCGGCTCCGAGCGCGACACGACCGGCATCCTGGTGTGGTCCGAGGTGTTCCCCGTCACGCTGCCCGGCGGCGAGGAGGTGAGCAGGTGCCGGCCGCGCTGTCCGCGCCGGCCCGGCGGCACCGCGCACAGCGCCCTTCACCTGTCGCCCGTCGTCAGCGACACGGGCGAAGGTGCTGTGACGTGTGCTGTGCAGGTGACGTGTGCTGTGCGGGTGCTGTGCAGTTTGGGCGGCTGATGTGCGCCGTGGTTGGACATTCGCGGTTCATGTGCCAGCTCCTTGTTCTTGTTTAAAAGTTGTCTTCCGTGTGTGACTGGCATCCGGCTGGGTCCAGCCGAATGTCCCGTAATTTAACCCCCGCTCTGCAGTTCCACACTGCGCGTCTGCAGCGTGGTCGGCCCGCAGGACAGCGCCGCCCCCCGCCGGCACTGCTAACGAAGCTTCCCTTGGCCGTCACCAGGTGGTCATCCTGCTGATGGACACACAGGGCGCCTTCGACAGTCAGTCGACAGTGAAGGACTGCGCCACCGTGTTCGCGCTCAGCACCATGATCAGCTCCGTGCAGGTCTACAATTTGTCGCAGAACATCCAGGAAGATGACCTACAGCACCTCCAGGTGGGAGTTAGTCGGCCCTCACGGTTGGGCCTCTATGGCACCCAAAGCGCAAGAGCATCCAGATATTCTGTACACGCTTGTGTGGTGAAATGGTGAAATGCCGTCACAACCAAAGGGCTCGGGCTGGAATGACATGGCAATACTTGATTGAATGTGAATCTTCTTGTCCGGGTTCGTGACAGTGTCATGCGCGTTCTTGAAACTTGCGGTTCTGAGGGTCGTCTCACTATGCACCGACACTGCATCTGTACGCACCAGCAGGTGCTCTGTGCTAGGTCGGATGGGTGTGCCCTTTGAGTCCTGTGCAGCGGGGGATTAAATGGAATACGACCGCGATGTTTCGGAGCCTCTCACCGGCCAGCGGCCGTGCTGAGATAACTGCCGTGAGGGAGGTTATTATGACCGTGCAAGGTGGACGCGTTGCGTGAGCAGCTGCGTTACACGGCTTACGACGCGGCTGTTGTCTCATCGTGCATGGCCGAGCGGCGGCCGCTGCCCAGCTGCACGAGATGTGGGTCGAGAGGCCCACGGGTGTTGTTGGTAACGCCCTCGATAGGGCTGGTACAGAGATCTGTCCCGTCCCACCACACAGAAGTCGTTGTACGTTGTAGCGACGCATCTAACGTCAGGGTACGGGGAAAACAATTGGTACAAGCAAGCCAGTGAGGTTCCCTCCGGTAGGCATCGAACCCTGAACCTCCCGGTTACCATCGCGTGACGCCGTCAGCCCGGCCCCCCTCCCCCTCCGCCGTCGCCATTTTCGTCATTGGAGCTTTACGACGCGCTCAGATACGGAGCTTTACGACGCGCTCTCACTCTGGCAGAGCGGCGGGCGCCGCGGGATTCGAACCCCGTACCTCCAGTTTCCCAGACGTGCATTACCGCTCGGTCGCGTGATTCGCCGGGTGTATGTGAGCGGGCGATTTAGCGAAGGCCGCCGGTCGGGCCATGCCGCCAAGATCCCGTCCGACCGGTTCCCAAGTGGGGACTCGTCGCACCGGGCCGTGGCGTGCTGGCGGGGCGACGCAGTGGTGCGGGCGGATCGCGCGGTTCCCATTTTGCTCCTCCTCAGTTTCGATCGGATTGGTTTCCAAGTCGGCAGCTGTTTAAGCCGGCTGAGAACTTTGGTAAATCCGTGGCTGTTTTTCCGTGAAGGAGAGCGAACGTTTTGGATGATCGCCGTCGCGTGCTGTGTACTGCGTGACCAGACTTGTCGGGTGTTGTGTGCGGTGGGTGGGTGATACCAGACGGTGGAAGAGTTCTTCAATCCCAGTGCGCCTGTTTAAGCCGTCGCTGATGATGGCGATGATGCTGATGATGGTGATGATGGTGATGATGCTGATGATGACGCCCGCCTCACCAGCCCAGCCGTGAGGCCAGCTCTGTGTGCGGGCGTCATGTGAACGTATCCAGTCTGTCCGTCGTCTCCTGACGCTCCCAGTTACCGGTCCGCAGCTGTTCACCGAGTACGGCCGGCTGGCGCTCGAGGACAGCAACCACACGCCCTTCCAGAAGCTGCAGTTTCTGGTGCGCGACTGGAGCTTCCCGTACGACGCGCCGTACGGCACGCAGGGCGGTAAACAGATCCTGGACCGCCGACTCCAGGTGGGGGTGAGAGACGGCGGAGCGGCGGCGCTCCACGAGAGCGAGGCAGAGAGAAGTGCGGTCACCGGCCGGCCGGCCGGCCAGCCCCGCACGCACGCACCCGCCCCTGCTGGCTGCGCTGGCTAACGGCCGATCATGGCTCAGGACGTGCCGAAAACGTGCCTGGTTTGGTCAGAGATCTGAAGACGCGGAGGCGTACTAGGAAGGCTGGCCGTTCAAGCGTTGCTCGGTTACCCCAAGTCTGCGCTATCACGCAGCAGCGTGGGCTCACATGGAAACCGGGGTGATTCTTCTCTGAGCGACATTGTGGCCGTTCGGTTTGTGGCCTTGCAACATGCCTTCACGGCTTAAGAAATGACGTCATTGGCACGTGTCGGCTAATTGCCTGGCCGACCTCATGTTTGTAAGCCGGTGCCAGCTGGGGTTTGTGCGTGTGTGGTTGTAAAAATCATCACAATTCGTCTTTCCACTTGGTTGGATTTGTTTCACGTTTCTGTTCCTTGGTTTTGCTTTGCCGACTGCATTCTTTCTTCCTCCTTTCGCTGCCGCGTTCTGTGCGTCTTCGATATCATTTATGGATGTGTAGTGAATGCGCCAACACCTGGTAAGTGGTGTTGAGGTGCATACGTGTTAGTCACAGCATGATTTTCATCATTTTGCTTTGCATCACAGCCACTGTGGCATAACGACGCGATAACGTTTCAGCCAGTGAATGCACCCACACGTGCGCGGCTTTTCGCCCGGCAGTGGCCGGCACCAAACGTTGTACAGACTTGGGTGTGTGCGAATGTGTGTCGAGACAACGTCCACTGCCACTCGACGCTGTACGGCCGCGAGTCGCGACGGTCGCCGTGCTGTTCCTTAGCTGGGAGGACGCCGGAGGCGGTGCCCGGGCGTGCCGCCCCGGCAGGCGCGGCGTCGGCGCGCTCCCCGGTAAGGCACCCTCGCGCGCGGCGTGTCGTCGTCCGGAGCTCATCAGAGCGCGTCCCGCCCCCTGCGAGCGCGGTACGAGCTGCACTCAGTCCTGGAAGGGGTCCGCTGGTAATCAGGCCCGTCCCGCGCTGCTGCAGTCTGAGGTCCGGCGCCGTCTGTAGGAGCTGGCAGCGCCCCGAGCCAGTTTGACCGCGGCGTGTCCGCGGCGCTGGGGCTGTCAGGGACCGCCCGTGACCGGGGATGTTCGGTGCCAACCGCAGGTGTCCGACAAACAGCACCCGGAACTGCAGAGCCTCCGCAAGCACATCCGCAGCTGCTTCTGCGAGATCAGCTGCTTCCTGATGCCCCACCCGGGCCTGAAGGTGGCCACCAACCAGCACTTCGACGGCCGACTGTCGGGTGAGTCCACTGGTCTGCCGAGCGGGGTGCGTGGGCACTACGCGCCCGTGTAGGGGCAGGCACTGCACGTGCTGCCGGCACGGGTGCGGCTCAGCGATGTGAAATGAAGTGAACGAGCAGTGGACACGGCAAACACTGCATTTCCATTGAACACGGCACACGGCGCCGGCACCGGAACAGAAGACCGTCTTAAGCTCGGTCTACACCCTACAGGGTGCCGAGCTACGGGGTGCCTTGCCTGAGGCTGCCCGTCTTCAGGTGAATGGCTGCTCGCAAAGCAAGAGCACGATCGGACTTTGGACGTGTTCGTTTTTGATACGGAATGCGAACGCTGGACTGCAAATAATTGTAGGATATCCAATTTGGGATGTCGTGGGATACAGTGCACACTCGTGCCTGTCTATTGACGTGGAAGATATGGTCAAAACAAGATGACGCCCATATGCGAATTGCCTCACACATCGCACATCCATAACGGCTCGCCGCTCATACGCCGCCCCTGTTGCCAATATCCAGATATCGAGCCTGACTTCATCCAGCACCTGGAGATCCTGGTGCCGATGCTGCTGGCACCGGAGAACCTCATCATCAAGGAGATCTCCGGCAACAAGGTGAAGGCGAAGGAGCTGGTGACCTACTTCGAGGCCTACATGAACATCTACAAGGGCAGTGAGCTTCCAGAGCCGAAGAGCATGTTGGAGGTGAGCCATTGGCTCTCTTCTGAGCTCCATCTCGTACTGCCGCCTCACATGTATGATCTGGTCGGTTTCACCTGACTGTCCAGTTCTGCACGAATAGCTTCCATCCACCGATGTTCAAACTGCGCCGTGCTAGCGCCACCTGTCGTTCCGAGTAAAACGTGCTGACGGCGGGGTCGCATTCTGCTGTGCCGATAAGCTGGAGATGTTGACATGTGTGGCGCGCATTCCCGTGAGTCTGTGGTGCGCTCTGCAGCATGGGCAGCACGGTAACCACGTGATTGACGCACTGACTAGGTTTCACACGCTTAAATTGAGTAGAATGCTTACGGGCTACGCTTGCTATGACCGGACTTGAGTGCCTCGGTTGAAGTGTCGGGTCTGTATTGCATGCAAGGTTTTTGTCGTCGAACGCATTAAAGCGCATCAGCATTTTTTCAAGCCGCGCTCACAAAACTGTCTTCTCTGGATCTCTGGCGGTAATGCCCTCCCCCCTTCCTCGCCGGTTCAACGGCTCCCCCAAACCCATGCTGGCCTGACCGTGCTGACCCTGCCCCCCCCCCCCCGATCGGCAGGCCACGGCGGAGGCCAACAACCTGTCGGCGGTGGCTGCTGCCAAGGAGGTGTACACGCAGATGATGGAGGCGGTGTGTGGCGGCGACAAGCCGTTCCTCTCGTCCGAGCATCTGGAGGCGGAGCACCTGCGCGCCAAGGACCGCGCCGGCGACACCTTCCACTCGCGCCGGAAAATGGGCGGCGAGGAGTTCTCAGAACGCTACCACGAGGGTCTCATGAAGGTGAGAGACTGCTGGTTTGGGGATGGGGCGGTAGGGGGAGGGGTAGAGGGATGGCGGTGTGGTGCTTTGAATGGATGCGACGGAGGTGATGTGAAAACTGGCGTGGGTTGTTGTGCGGCCTATACTGAATTTCACGTTTAATTCGCCTCAACGGCTGCTTCTGCAACGAGGTTTTTTAAAGCCCAGCTAACAGGCACCATGTGGCCATTATAGTCGGTGCGCCCTGAAGCCTAAATCATCATCCTCATCAGACACCTCTTCCGTTGTGCCGTGCTGTGTGCTCGTTGGACTGTCTCAGCACGATGTTCTGACTATTCCAAGGATAGGTCAGTGTGGTGGCTTGGCTGCCACCGGCCTGAATCATCCCCTGCCAAGCCTGGCTCGGGTGTGCCCGCCCGGCAACGCTCCGAAGTCATTCAGGTCCTCTGTGTCCATTGCGGTGATTCGGTTATTTGTCACGTACCCATTTCGTGGGACGGGTGCTCTGACGCGCTGTTGGTCCCATCCCCTGCCAACAGACGTCGACTCACCGTTCCCAGCCGTGGGTACCACGCGCTCCAGCATCTGTCCACCTTTGGCGACACGTTCCGATTCCTCTGCCCCTCCCCTGCTCCCCCCCCCCCTCCGCTGCGTTCTTCCGTCACCGCGCGCTTTGACTGACCTTTCTTCGGCGTGTAGCGCCACGTCGTGCTGTGACAATCCACTGCCTCATCCACTGTCACATCCACCGTCACTGTCGACGCCTTTGCTGACTCGCGGCGTTATGCCATCCCCGTGGGCACGTGCTCTGTCTCTCCCTTAGACACCGTCCGCTGCCCACGCACGCTCTGACGCCCCTGTATCATGTCGCAGGACGTGGAGGACCAGTACGTGCAGTATCAGGGCCACAACGAGTCCAAGAACGTGTTCAAGGCGGCGCGCACGCCGTCCGTGCTGCTCAGCATCTCCCTTGTGTTCTACATCCTCTCGGGTGTGAGTAGGCCCGGGAGGGGGCGGCGGCGGTGTGACCGTGCCCCGGATCGCGGTTAGGGTCGGTCGGCACCCGGCCAGGACGCTTGTGCGCTGTGGACGGGAGCAGCCACGCGGGTGTTGGTGGTGGTGTCTGGTGTGAAGTGTGGAGAATGCAGGTTATGTCAGCTGATAATGTATTGATCAACAACAACTCGATAACTTATGCCCTGTCCGGTATGCTTTCTTGTTCCCGGCCCCAATTTCGTGTAAGCGCCAGCCCCACTAATGGTGCGCCAGACCAGTTGAGTGGCGCGCCAGACCAGTTTAGTAGTGCGCCAGACCAGTTTAGTGGCGCGCCAGGTCAGTCTAGTGGTGCGCCAGACCGGTCCAGTGGTGCACCAAACCAGTCTAGTGGTGCACCAGACCAGTGTAGCGGTGCGTCAGACCGGTGTAGCGGTGCGTCAGACCAGTGTGGAGGTGCGCCAGACCAGCATAGTGGTGCGTCAGACCAGTGTAGTGGTGCGTCAGACCAGTGTAGTGGTGCGCCAGACCAGTATAGTGGTGCGCCAGACCAGTCTAGTGGTGCACCAGACCAGTGTAGTGGTGCGCCAGACCGGTGTAGCGGTGCGTCAGACCAGTGTGGAGGTGCGCCAGACCAGCGTAGTGGTGCGCCAGACCAGTGAAGTGGTGCGCCAGACCAGTTTGTATTCTGTTGAGGGGAGCCCTGTTTCTCTATGCACAGGGTTCGGCTAGCCCCGGGCAGGTCTCCCTCACCCTGCTGTCTACCTGCCTTGTTGTTAACTGCCTGTTGTCTACCCGTGGTCAAGCACGGGAAGTGTTCGGCCTGGCTGGCTCTGTTGTCCCCCGGCGTTCGGACCGGACGTCTCGCCAGTGTCGTCTGTCTGTCTTCAGTGCGTCGTCCCTCAGCGTTCGGACCGGACGTCTCGCCAGTGTCGTCTGTCTGCCTTCAGTGCGTGTCGTTCGGCCGCCCCTGACCCCGCTCCTCGCGCACCCTCTGCAGGTGTTCAGTCTGGTGGGGCTGTACGCGCTGGCCAACGTCTGCAACCTGCTGATGATGCTGCTGGTGCTGACTGTCGGCGTGTGGGCCTACAGCCGCTACAGCGGCGAATACGTCGAGCTGGCCGCCACCATCGACGAGCTCACCGAGCAGGCCTGGCAGACCGTACGTTTCCAGCAGACGTGGTGCAGCGCGCCTGTGCAAATTGCTGCACGGACGTATGCGCACACAATGCCCGTGTAGCGAGCTGTGCGCCATCCTATAGGGTCGACTTGGTAGCCGAAGCATTGACAGGGGAGTGACAGCACTCAGAGACCGGCAACGGGAGGAATAGGCCATCATATTTCGGGATAAGCCTCCTTTGCTTACGTGGTATATTTATGCATGCAGCCATTTAAAGGGAGAATGATGCATTTGGTACGTAGTTAGATGTGCCTAGTCCATACTGATACATAACGCTCTCATGTATCAGCATGCACCCATCCCATCCGTCTGGGGATGTGAAGCCAGTGCTCGTAGATTTCCTCCCAGCAGTCGCTTTGATTTGCGGCGAGTTCGGCTTCGTCATCCACCCATTGGGCTCTGCACTTGCCATAAAACGCCACTTGGTCAATCATATTTCATCTGTTTTTGCTACCAAAGCTTAAACTTGGTGTGGCTGTACCGAAATAAAACCATCATTTTCAGTCATAGTGGAGCTTGGAAAATTTCTTTCAAAACGTGACTTGCCATTCTGTCCGTACCAGGATTCTGACATGGAATGAGGTTAGCCGCATGCTTTGAATTGCTTGCTGTCAGCATCAGCAAGAACCGCTTTGACTCGCTGCTTTGAAGGCTGTTGTCATGGGCGGTTAATGATGAAGTCAGCTGCTGGAGATTTATGGCTTCTCTTGCCCTGGCAGAACGGGCGGACGTCGCGGGCAACCGAACCCCGTACCTCTGATTTCCCAGGAGTGCATGTTGACCACTGCACTACCGGTACCCCTAATTTGAAGCCTGCATGCCTTTCAAGCACCTGTCTCATCAGCCAGCGGCTTCTACACAGATCATCGCATGGGCGGGGACGATACGCGTGACGTATGTGACCATATCCAGGCGCCTTTCGGAAGATAATTAGACACTTATGGAGAAGGCAATTTTGAAGGGTCCAGCCACCCCGTGAGCAAGTCGCTGAAGCTGGGTTGCATGTCGACGTAGCTCGGAATATGTTCGGCGGTGCTCGCATCCGGTGATCTTGTGTAGTTCTTCACTTAAAGTGGGAGGTGTACATGTGCCTCGCCGAAGCCGTGAAGCTCACGACACTCGTCCAGGTGTGGGGCGGGGCGCTCTTTGACCCGTGCTCTGTAGACTATGTGCCGTGACCCATTGCAGTGAAGTCAGGTCTGCGTATGTACGGAGCAGCAGCACTGGTGTTCGCGGTTGCCCTTCTTACGTTTCGCTGTTCACATGGCATACAAAGCCTGCCTGTGCTGTCGTCTTCTCTGACGCGCCGCGTGTCGGCGTCGGCGCCATGTCCCGCCCGCTAACGCCCGCCGCCGCCGCAGGGCCTGAAGCCGCTGTACGAGGCGCTCATGCAGAAGTCGCTGGACGCGGCGGCGCGGCAGGCGCTGCAGCGGCAGACCTCGTCGCCGGGCACCAGCCGCGACAAAGCCAAGGCCTCGTGATGACCCCAGCTCAAACGCGCCGCGCCTCGCCGCACCTCGCGCGCATGTGCCATGCTGGAGTGCGGCCGAGTGGCGCCGCGCGCGGCAGGCGGCCGGCGGGCTCGCGCGCGCCGCCGCCCCGCCCGCGCCGACAGCCACCCTCGAGGAGTACAAAACCAGTGCCTATCTTCACTGCATGCTTACAGGCAGGCGCGGGAAGGCTGGAGAAGGCCTCCGCTCGTGCTCCTCGGGACCCGCGCAGCCATATGTACGGGCCACCAGTAACCACGGTCGTTATCACTTGAACGCGTCGCGGCCAGCGGCGCCGGCGCCGGCGCGGTCGTGGGACAAATTACCTGTGTATTTATTAGTAGCCGTTCGCGGCTGGTGACGCGCTCGTGCCGACGGCGCACTCGCGGCGGATATTTCGGGATCTGACGGTCGTTTTGCGGACTTGTTTTGCTGTTGGCGGCTAGCGTGGTGGGGTTGCGGTTGTGTCGGGATTGGGCGTGGTTGTGGCCGAGTCGGAAAGTGCAGCAGGTCGGCCGTCCGGTACCAGCCGCCTGCTCTCGAGCTGGGATGCCTTGAGCGCATTTTATCCTGTCCGCTGCATGCCTTTACATAACGGACACGCATGTCTGAGATCGATATCCCGAGAATACCATAAAGACGATACTCCTCACAACGTATTCAGCATGGTTAACTCCGATGACGTATACTGCTCGCACCTGGCCCGTTTACACCTCCGCGAACATGTCATGTTTTGTTTTTCTGGGTTCGTCCGTCAATTCCACTGGGCTTCCGGGGAGACTTCCTGCGGCAATCCTGCGGTGACTGCCGCCCGTCACCGGCTGCTGTCCGTCCTTGGCATCGCGGCTCAATCTCCGGGTGGTTACTTCTCCATCCGGCTTCTGCTGTCCCAGGACCGTGGACAGGGCACCGCCCGGCCTCTGATTACGGTACCCTACCGGTCCGTCGCTGGGTCTCGATTTCGTGCAGTTCCTTCAGGCGTGTGTCGGGCGAGGCGCTCTGCCGAGGCCGCTCGTCCGCGCCCCGCGCCAGGCCCGCTCCCCTGCCCCCCCCCCCTTCCTTGGCCCGCCCAGCGCCGGGGGTGGTGCCGTGAGCGGCCAACCGGTCCGCGCGCTGCCGCCGCCACCGCCGCCATCGGTTTGGTGTTGTTTGCACGATCAAAACCTGTCGGTAGAAGCGTAGACGTGACGTGCTGTTGGGAAGGTAGTTTGATTGTGATGGTCGCTCGGTGGCTTAGGGTGGCATCGTGCCAGGATGGTAGAGTGATAATGTCGAATATACATTACTAATTGGACGCAACCGGTCGTTTCGTAAGCGTCAAGGCTGACATGCGAGTGACCGTACTATTCAGAACGTGGTCATGTATGTATGCTCTTTCACATGTGCTCCTGTCCGCTGGTATTGCACGGGCGAGTGGGTTTCTTCTCTCGACGCGTCCTGTTGTCAAAAGCAGAATCGGACCGCGGGGCACCATGGCCGTGACCGACGGTGGAACTCTATCTTCTTGGGGGGGGGGGGGGGGGGAGGGCATTCCCCAAATGTCGAGCTGTTGAGCTGCCCCCCAATGTTGGCCTGCTCCCCCCTCCCAATGCTGAGCCGCTTCCCCCAATGTTGAGCTTCTCCCCCCCCCCCCCCCCCCTAATGTAGAGCTGCCCCTACGGGCGTGACCAACTACGGAACTCTATCTATTGGGGGGTCATTCCCCCAATGTCGAGCTGCCCCATGTTGAGCTGCCGTCCCGATGTTCAGCTGCCCCCTCCCCCAATGTTGAGCTGCCCCCCCCCCAATATTGGGCTGCCCTCCCCCCAATAGTGAGCCGCCCCCCTCCCCCATATTGGGTTAGGCCCCGCAATATTGGGCTGGCCGTCGCAGTAATGGACAGAGCCTCTGCTATGTGGAAGCTGGCGCCCAACGCTTATCAGTTCTTTGAAATAAAGATGGTTTGAAGTTCGGCAGACGGAAACATTTCCAATCCGAGTGTATGGTCGTTTGTGTCCCTAAGGTAGGGAAAATTGCATCTCTGAGCTATTGGTTCAAGGGGTTCTTATGCTGGTGAATTAGGCGCAAACACCGCATTTAGGCAACTGTGAATAACGTGAAATTTAACTGTCTTCGCAATCGGCCTCGTGCTGCGCAGGTCGCTTGTCGTGCCATGGATGCCCCACAGCCACAGTGGAAGCTATAACAAACGCTCCACAGTTTTTAGGTGTATCACGTCAAGCTTTTGTATGTGCATGATGGGTTGCGTGCATGCGTGTTGCCAAACTTTACTCAACTCACCCTTCAGCTCTGCCCTTAGAAGTTGCATTGGTTCGATTACGAACATATGCAACCACGGGTGTCGATCTGTATTCTTTTCAGCGGGCTACTGCTCCCCCACGTTCATTAACATTTAAAGGAGGCTTTTACTAATTGTTTCGCACGTAAAAGAACCAAAGGAAATTACAAATGCGGTATTGTCAAGTGTAGTGCACATGACTAAGTCACACTATTAAAGCTCCGCGGTCGTTCCGTGTTTGGTCGAGATTTTCTTCTTTTTTCCCGTACGTTACATGTCTCAGCTGTACGAATTATAACTAACGTTGACTATAATCTAGCTCCGAATTGTTGTTGGTGTATTGTGGCATGATTCAGCGATGTTTAAGCTATGCACACCATAGCAAGATGCGCTGTATTGCTATGCCTTATCGGAAAATTAAAACAGTGTTGTAAAGTTATTAGCCGACTACATTAGGAGAACCCTTGAAATGTGTTTGTCTTCACCTCAACATGGATATTTCATGAAAGTTGCAAAAAGTTGACGATCGACAACCAGTCGAAGAAACAGATAGCACTAATCGTCCGAATACGACCACCAACACGAGCCGTGTCGACCCTGCCTGGTGGTAGTGATGCACCTGCACCCCGCCTTGCGCCAATCACCGGGGATTTCCATGGCAGACGTTATTATATTAGTCGCGCAAATCAACTTGCACTCTTTGCTCCCGAAGTCGTATGCGTCCAACAACGTCTGAAACCACATAACATCAACTCTACGTCGGTTACCGAAACCGGGTTTCGGCGATCAACGCCAAACAAAATGATAATGACGCCCAACAATAGCATCTTTCACCGAGGCATATCAAGCCAACGAATTAGACCGGGTATGTATTTTTTAGTCTGTTTTGGGGATACCCCAACTCCATACCGTCACTGAGGGGGAATTGAGTAGTCCGGAAAGTATCCTAGTCTTAAGTGTATTTGGCGCGTTTTTTCCCGCCTGACCTCACCAATCGTATTTTGCGAAACTCACTTCTATAGTAGGGCTTTAGCGACCGTGACATGCGAAAGACTCGCAACCAGATTATACTCCAGGGTCAGGTCTGGGACTTAATGCCCATTTCCCTAAAAAGACAGGGCCTAGATTCGCGATTGACATCGGTCGGGGCCTTTGAGACAATGAGTGGCCCCTGTGTCAGTCAGGGGACCACAGTGCCTAACAAGGGTCGGGCATTAACAAGCTCAGATCCGGCCTGGGACAGTGTTCGAGAGGCCCGCAGAGGAGCCGAAGGGTCCCTCGGGACCGCTGATCAAGTGCCCGATTGGAGGGCACGAAGGCAGGGCCAGGCCATCAAATGTCAGAGGACCTCATGCACCAATTGGAAACACCCTGGCGCAAAGCGGATCTCTATTTCGGTCATAGACTACCAACACCGAACAGCCGGCTCCGTGTCGGTCTGAGCCCCGGGGGCCCATTTCCTAGGCAGGGACAATGTGGGAGCCCGCTGTTTGCATTGGTCGTGATCTTTGAAGCAGTGAGGGCCTCTTTGCTGGCCAAAGACCCGCAGCACCTATAGAGGGTCTAATGTTTGCAAGAGGCCTTGAGTCGACCAGGGCAACATCTCTTGGACAGAAACAGGGACGGGTCCCCGAAAGTCAGGAGCATCTTGCGTTGGGCGAGGCCCTCTGGCAATGAAAATTGAGATGAGGGTTAACGAGGCGTGTCCACAGCGCAATAATGAAAGGCCCTTTGGCAGGAAGGGCCCCGGTACCAAACGGAGAGCTCTCTATCCCATTTTAGCCGGGGGTCCGTTATGCCGAACTGAAGTCTCTTTGCCAGTTATTGTACACCTGCGATCATAAGGAATGTTTTGCATCAGTGAGGGCACCTGTGTCTAAGGGGATCCCGCCCCTGCTCCACCGGCATGATAGCCGGCAGGCACCCCATACTGTAACCGAATGGCCCCGAAATGGCGCGAAATGACCACTGCGGTCGGCGAGCCCGAATACAACGTGTCCAACGGAGCTAATCACAATGAGCTCAAAACTAAAAAGGCCAACATAAACAAGGCGTCCGTCATTGTTCAGGATCATGTGTGAAACACATTGCATAAAACAGTTTTGGGCCCGCGTGATCACAGCCTTAGCAGCAGGAACACCAGTGGCCGGGGCCGCAGTTTCGATGGGACCGAGCGGCGTTGGCCACTGCAGCTAACACACGGTGGTGGGCGCCTAGCGCCCGAGAACAGCCATCGTAAAATAATGCTGTTAAACCATCATATTACAGCACCGGTTCGCAGTGGTATGAATTCTCATCAGTTCCCAATGTGATTATACAAACTGCATAGCTGAGACACACTCCTGGAGCACCACCTTCAAGCATAAACCGTTAAAGTTGCTTTCTTCAGAAACGTTGTTTTCGTCCGCCCGGTGGGCACCATCTAGCATTAAGCACGGGATTGACGCGGCACCGCCTCCGGTGGTTGCAACGCCACCGCCTGCGGGGGTTGCAACGCCGGGCGTAGGGTTTTCGTTGCAAGACTTGCGAGAGCGCTTGGCCAAAACTGGATAATGTAATTCTTCCTCTTTTTGGTTCTGAACAAAGGTGAGCATTCTGAGACCAAAACAGGTAAATATGAATGCAAAGGTACGACTTTTTCCAATCATAGATCTACGTTCACGATGTCCCTGCACAACCCAGAGAAACTCAGGTACGGCCCCTGATTACCATCGAGTTTAGGAAGAGTCCACTGAAACATTATAAAATGAATAACACTGGTGCGTTTCTTTCGGTTTATCGACTTCAAAACACAAACTGCATTGTGTCTATTCCTGACCCCTGGCGTTTGAGAAGGGGGGGGGCCTCCCTTCTAAGTCAAGTGAGCCATATCCGATGACTTCTTTTTTGGGTGTGGGGCCTTACCCCTGGAAGAGGGCTTGGTCAACACTGAGTCCTAGCTCACATTTACCAAGACTCTGGCCGCGTCCCTGCGTCAGTACGCTCATTGAACACTGAATATGCGTGTGTAAATATCATCCCATGGTAACGGCAAAGCCCGCTCAACCAGCAACGTTGTTATAATGGACCCGTTACGCACGATATTGATATGACGGGTGTTTCATTTTTCACACGCCCGAAGTGATAAAGGTGAGGGTCGCTCTCCCTTCAAGGTACATTAGATTGGAACAGTGTCCCCCAGACGCAAAGCTGGCTTGCACTCCGCGTTTATTGAAAAGAGCGAGGAAAAGGGTTCTCAGCAGGAATGCATCTGCCTAAGCGTATTTGCGGATAGATGTTCTTGACTTACGTGTGGAATGAACATTGACAGCGTTTCACGTGAATTCGTCGGCATTTATATCCACTAAAATGCATGCGTTTTATAATGAAATTTTGGTGCATTGAGAATCTGCATATGAACGGATTATGATGGCCACATATATTGTGGACACTAGACGATTTTTATGAACGGATGACAGAATATGAGAAAGCCTTAGCGAGCGCATTACGGTAAATTAAACACCAATCTACTTTTTAAGTATGCAAAAGAGAAAGCTGTAACTGCATCCCCCCAGTTTCACAAAACAGGTGCCTTTATATAGATATAAACATATATGCATATATATATATACATATATATCTATATATATATATATATATATATATATATATATACATACAGCCACATATATTGTTTATTATAGTGTAATAAACAATATATGTGGGACACAAACCTCGTGGGACACCAAGAGAGATTAATAGCGCATTCGCAAGCGAGCTCCGGCATACGTACTAGTCAAACGAACTTTATCCCTGATGAACATTTACGTATAAACATTTGGAGTACGTCAATATCAAAGACCTAGAATGCAACACTCCCGTCACTTAACTTCAATCAACAGTCAACAACGCTTCGTTACTTCAATGCAACGGTCATTTCGCACCTTGTAATCCGTGAACAGACTTGGTTAACAAATAGCTAAAAAGAAAGGAAAACTTGACGTCGCGAGCTTTGACGCCGCCTGGAGCGGATAAGACTCCGACATAGCGGATCCCGTGTCTTCTCAAGTCTGCCCAACCGGCAATAGTTATGTTGACGCAAAAAGCAATCGAAGACAACGAAAACAGGCGTCGAGAGATTCCACCTTTTATTCTAGAAGTCACTCACCCATGCAACGTGCTAGCAAGGGAGCAGTTGTAGCCATGCCGTACAGATCATTTTTATAACCACATTTCCCCAGCAGGGCAAACGCACGTTCCAACCGTAGCAAAGTAATCTGCAATTTCTCCATGCACAGTGTTTTCCTTTATACGACAATTACATCTTGCAAGGCACTTATAAGCCGTTTGTTCTTACATTGCACTAACACACTAAACGTATTTGTCATGACAGCTACAGGTGGTGCCGAGGTAGGGAAGCCGGTTTGTCACAGTCCTGACCATTGGGCTGGACGTGGCCGAGGTCAGGAAGCCGGTTCGTCACAGTCCTGACCACTGAGCTGGGCGCGGACGAGGTCGGAAAGCCGGTTCGTCACAATCCTGCCACTTGACTGGGCGTAGCCGAGGTTGGGAAGCCGGTCCGTCACAGTCATGACCACTGGGCTGGGTGCGGCCAGAAGTCAGCATGGCAGCAGTGTGACGATACATCAACTGGTCCGGAAGCGTTTCCACCCCATGATCCAACAAGAAGACATGGGGCCTTGTTTTCGACGCCGTTGTTATCTAAGGAGTACCGCAGCTGTCCCCAGGGGGCAGGTACACAACTATTGCTATATGGATCAGGCGACATCAAAATTGACCTTGCAGTTTGCTCACACATCTTCCAACTCGATGCCAAAGAAAGATGAGACACATAACACTAACACTGTGTCAGGCAATGCACACGCAAGCCATTAACGACGATTACCTATTACATATGCCACGCTAGCTAGTGGTTTGATTTCCAGCCCCTAGATGCCAGCACCTATCATCACTGCGCGGCATCGGGCGATCGCGACGGGTTCTGCGTCTCCTGATAGAGCTCGTGCAGCTGATGCAGCTGCTCCTCGCTCATCTGGTCTAGCTGCTGTTCGGTGATGGTGGCGCCTACCGGGCGGCTGCGGTGGGTGCCGCGCACACCCAACTGTTGTGCCAGTCGGAGTGCATAGCCGGCCCACTCCTGGAGGAAGACGCCGGCCTCGGGTGGCGCCGCCTCCCGATGCCGCCGGAACTCGTCCCGCACGTATTGGTCCCCAATGGCCTTCAACTCGACTGGTAGGCCACGGTGCAGCCTCAGCACCGTCTTGTAAAGCATCCGCACCGACTGCACATGACTCAGAGTCGACGGCACCACCATGGTGCACACGGCAGTGCAGGCTATGGCACTGAGACTCACCACACCAGCTGATGTCAGGTGACCTCAGTATGAGTGGTGCCACGACTGTCCTGTCATGCCCAGGATTTGTTAGACTGGTAAACACAAAAGAGCCACAAATCAAAACATCCATCATGTGCATGATTCGCTTGACTGGTAGACACGAAAGAGCCACATATCAAAACAATTATTGGGTAAAATAACCTGATACCCCAATTAATAGAGATCAATTGAAGACAATAGGAATCAAAATTACAGCAAGCTCTTTCCAGCTTTGACTAGGTTTTATCAGCCACACTCAGTATGTATACATTACTACAGCTGCACCCACAAATCCATTGCAGTGCTGCTGAGTATCACTCTGATAATTGCCTACACCTGAATCTGCACCTGCAGTTTACCAACCTTAAGTGAGACCTTACACAAGATGCACACTAAAAACTGCACACAACTTTTTAAGCTGCTCAGCAGAAAACGCAGACAGGTGCAAATACAAGCATATGTGTACAGCTTCCAGCACTTTCACATCTGTGGCCTTTAATCCCACAGACAAACCTTTATGTACACCTCTTTTATGGCACAGTTCATATATATGAAATCAGGTATGGCACTTACAAAATAACCTAAATATGGACCATTATCAGTGGATGACTTCCGTAGAATACAAAACCTTCACTGCGAGATGAAATGCACCACACTCGTAGCCATACGAACACTTAGCTTAAAGACTAGAAGTTACCCTTGGACATCATCACATCATAACTTTATCTGAACAATTTAAAGAGTGCAACAAGACATGCATCGCAGCGACCCTCACTAACCAGCTCAATAAGCAAATCCTCTAAGGGACCTCCTTCGCACCGTCCACCACCAGGTGGCCAGCCACCAGGCTGCGGCCACCTGCCTGGCGATACGGTGGCAAAGTGCACCCGAGCAGGCGCGGAGCCGGCTGGCGGCCGGCCGGCCGATAATTGCCAAGTCCAACAACGGGCCTCACGGCAAATAAGTTTTTTACAAATAATAACGTAAAAGAACCACCGAAAATCTTACAAACGTAGCACTTGTGCATGTGTACTTAAAAAATGGTTATAACGATCGTTTCATCACTTTAGAGTTCATTCTCACGCACTGGGAGGCACCACTTCGGCTGGATTGCTCCTAGTCCAGTAAGGGGCCTCACTTTAGGTTAAGCCTCAGGCTGGCCAAAATGACACAAGCATGGCACATGTGCAAGCGTGCGATACATGTTGACGTGTGTCGACCATGCTATCGCCTTGGGGATTGAAGACGGCATTGTACAACTGGTCTCGATGGCTGGCAGCCGGCCGGTCGAAAATTGGTTCCAGTCGAACAACGGAGCTTCCCACAAATAAGACGAAAGACCATCCAAACTGATACAAACGTAGTACGTGCGGACGTAGATGTCCACGTGCCAGATTCGTGACGACCGTCCCATCGCTCTCGGGTCCATTCTCGGGCATTATGAGGCGCAGCTGTAGCTGAATTGCCCTAGTCCAGTAAGAGACCTCTATGCAGGCCAGGTGCAGAAAATACTAAAACAGCACGAGCGATGCACGTATGCACTTGTATGAAATGTGGACGCCTGGTTTGACCATTCTATCGGTCTCTGGAATGGAACTGTTTTCATCCATTTTTAAAAGTACCCTGAATGACAGGTGGTCCCCCGGTCGAGTATCGACACATCCAGCAACGCATCTTCCTGCGGGTTACATGCGAGACTGCCAAAACTGACAATAGAAAGGCTTCTGCACCCGCCCCCTCCCCCCCCCCCCCCCACTAACAATGTGAAAAACCGGCCAAGTTTGGTGTAAAACACGGTGGTGGTTTTGGGGAACGATAATTCTCGGAATTTTTGCGATTCAACCTCTGAACGCTGAATGCAAATTTACCGCTCCTGTCGGTGAAGTTGGCAATTTATTCAACGATTTATGCAGCGACGAGTCCTGATTTCTCCGAAAAAGGGCATTCAGATAAATTATAACGCGAAAAAGTCGAAACTGACCGTTATTTTGCAATATCATGTGACCTTCAAGGTCAAAAGCTGAATCAAGGGACGGGAAACTCAGTATCACCCAAAAACTATCGGCCGACTAGAAAACTGGAAGCATTAAGATCTTCAACAGTGCACGGGCTAGTGTCCGTCAAAAAGCACTGGCCTATCAAGGTCACCATTCAAGGTCAAACGCTGACCCAAAGTACGGGGAACTCAACATCACCTAAGAGCTCCCGGCTAATTTAATCTTATGAATGTCAGAATATTCATCACAGAAAAAACTAGCGTCCGTCAAAAAGTCCTGACCTGTCAAGGTGACCCTTCAAGGTCAAACGCGGGCTCAAATGACGGGAAGCTCCATATCACCCAAGAACTACGGGCAGATTTTAAAATTGCAAGCGTCAAAACATTCACCACAGAAAAAACTAGCTTCCGTTAATAAGACCTGCCCTATCAAGGTCATCCTTCAAGGTCAAATTCAGGCTCAAAGGACAAAGAACTCAATGTCACCCTAAGATTACCGGCCGATTTTAATTAAGAAATACCAAAATATTCAATACAGAAAGAACTAGCGTCTGTCAAAAAAATCTGACCTCTCAGGGTCATCCTTCAAGGCCGAATTCAGGCTCAAAAGACGAAGAACTTCATATTACCAAAAAATAACCGGCCGATTTCAAACTTGGAAACAGCAGAATATTCACGACAGAAAGAACTAGCCTCCCCCAAAAAGTCCTGACCTCTCAAGGTCACCCTTTAACATCAAACGTGGGCTAAAATGACAGGGAACCCTTTATCAACCAAAAATTACCCGTCATTTTTAGGCTTGCAAACAACAGATTATTCACCACAGAAAAAGTTCTCGTCCGTCATAAGTCTTTAACTTTCAAGGTTATCCTTCACGGTCAAATTTAGTCTCAAAGGACGGAAAAGCCGACATCAACAAAAAACCATAGACCGATTTTAAACTTACAAATACCGGAACATTCATCACAAAAAGAACAAATGCCCCAAAAAATTTCTGACTTCTCAAGGTCACCACTTGGGGTCAAATTCAGGCTCAAAAGACGTGGAACTCGATGTCATCAAAAATTACCGTTTGATTTCAAACTTGCAAACATCAGAATATTATACACAGAAAAACTAGCGCTGTAAAAGACCTGACCTCTGAAAGTCACCCTTCAAGTTCAAATTCAGGCTCAAAAGATGAGAACTCCAAGTCATCCAAAAACTAGCGGCGCATTTTGAACTTGCTTGAACCAGAATATTCACTACAAAAAGGACTAACGTCTGTCCAAAAGTCCTGATTTCTCAAGGTCACTCTTCTAGGCCCAATACGGATTCAAAGGACGGAGACTAGTTTGACGGAAGCTGGTGGTGTGGTGGATACTCTATGGATATGGATCTGTGGTGGATACTCTAATGTTTGGAAGTCTAAAATCGGCCGGTAAGTTGTGAGCAATAATGAGTTATCCGTCCTTTGAGCCCGTGTTTGACATTGAATGGTGATTTTGAGCTAGCTCTTGCGCTAGCTCGTGCGGTTGTTAATATTTTGATATTGCTATATTATTATATGCTATATATTAAATATTTTGATGCTTGCATTTTTTAAGTCAGCCAATAAATTTAAAGTGAAATCGAGTTATCCGTCCTTTGACCCATCCTTTAACCCTGAAAGCCACGTGATATTGTAAAATAATGGTCATTTTCGATGTTTTCGTGCCATAATTCATCTGGTTATGTTTTTTTTCAGAAAAATCGGTTCCGTTACTTTGAGCCCGCGTTTGACCTTAGAGGGTGACCTTGAGATGTCAGGACTGTTCGCTGGACGCCATCCCCTGCGCTTGTGACTGTTTTATGCTCGCAGTTTTTAAATCGGCCAATAATTTTTGGGTGACATCGAGTTCCCCGTCCTTTGACCCAGCTTTGGGCTTTGAAAGTCATGTGATCTGCAAAATAACGGCCATTTCCGATGTTCTCGTGTCATAATTCATCTGGAGACCTTTTAGAGAAGTCGGAACTCGTCGCGGAATAAATCGCTGAATAAATCGCCAACTTCACGGACATTTTCCGGTCCCCGACGCACGGCCGCCGGTACATCACTCACCCGGACGCATGGGCATAGGAACAGGGGAGGGGGGGGGGGGCAGGGGGCTATGAGCCTCCCACTTTTCATGGTGGGCGGGGCAGCAGTTGTTTAATACACATTGTTGTTCAATGGATGTAAAATCAAATTTTGATCCTCAAATCTCAATCAAACATGTCGATCTACAATCATGGGCAGATCTCGGGGTGGGGGGGGGGGGGGGGGGGGAGGGACTGGGCCATGCCCCCCAAAACCTCTGAGAGTATGTTTTGGCCCCCAAAATATTCCCAGAACTTCGTAAAGTTTCGTCTACTTACCGTCTGTCTTAACTTTAACTGTTTTAACTGTTTTGTTTCAACTTCTGTTTGAGATTCAAAAGCATTTCGGTGCTCTTTTCGGGTTTGAATGGTGTCCCTACTACTACTCACTACTCACGAGAGGCACCATGCACTGGACCTCGGATCCCACACCAGCCAGCTGGCGACGAACAGTTGCCCCCCCCCCCCAAAAAAAAAACAACAATTCCTGGCTAGATCCGCCCCTGCGATGGTGTGATGGAAGGGAGGATAATTAAGGAAAAGATACTGCTGCAGGTGTTTTATATATGGCTTACAAACCAATTAGTAGCAATGCTGATCCATAAATTTGCAACAAAGTACCCATACAATCAGTTCGCAGTCAGTCATGCGAGAGACAGCCGGCGCAGGGCAGGGGCCGCCGACAGCAGACGGCAGCAGGTTCCATGTAAGGAATATATGACAGAGGAGTCTTCATTCTGTGGCTTGGATTTGAAAGGAAAATTTACAGTTGTATGGCGTTGTCACACTGCTTTTGACGGTTTCAAGGTTCGAGCTTGTTTTCGTTTAAAATGCTGCGACAAGTCTTACCTCCTGAAAATCAGCCAGTGAAATGAAGGCAGATACCAAATTTGTCGCACTGTGAGCCATCGACTTGCTGTCAAAATTCTCACCAACCTATGTTCGGGCCGTATTTTGGCATTTACACTGTAGAGGCAGATGTCTTCTCAATGACCCAAAATGTCTACCCGCGCGTGGAATTTTGCCTCCCCATGAAAGACACTGTTGAAAAAGACAAATAATTTTGGGAAGCTGGACAGCCTTATTTGCCGAAAGACATAGACGAGTCGGACAGGCGAGATTGTGCATCAGTGAGAAGCAGGTCTAGGTGCATATATAGCAAAGCAGTCATGACATTAAGAACGATAACGACCTCCCTCTCTACCCTACCCCCCCCCCCCCCGATCATCGGGCTTGCTTTCCAGAAAAAGTTCCTGAAGCACGCCCTGAGCTGCCCCCCTCCCCCCGCGGTGAGCTTGGCCGAGCGGCCGAGGCCACCGCTAGCTGACACTTGCGCTCGGTGACTAGCCACATGGGCGGCACTTATCAAAATCGGGTTGGGGGTTTAACCCATCAGGTTGACTTAATCGACCCCAGCACCTGATTTTTCCCCGTCATGCAGCCATTTAGGTGGGCTTTCCCGACGCCAGGGGCCAATCTTTTCATCGCCCGATATCACAATTGCGGAAAATGTCCTCCCATTGCAAGTCAGTGAGATATTGCGGGTTTGTAACAAGTTTATTACTGAGTGCAGTTCAAAAGAAACATATCAGTAAGATCGTTTGATGTGATCGCCGGAAAATGGTCTCGTTCACTGATCATGGACGGTTGTCCGAGCCCAACCAGACCATTTTGTCCTGAACGGATTTGACAGCGGCATGTTGTATCACCAAAGCGTCAGAATGTTTGACACATGCATCCATGTCACGCGTACCACGTTCGTTCTTTGGCCGGTC